CGGGCAGTTTGACTGGGGCGGTCGCCTCCCAAATGGTAACGGAGGCGTACAAAGGTTTCCTCTGAACGGGTAGAAATCGTATCTAGAGTGTAAAGGCATAAGGAAGCTTGACTGTGAGACCTACAAGTCGAACAGGGACGAAAGTCGGTCTTAGTGATCTGACGGTACTGAGTGGAAAGGCCGTCACTCAACGGATAAAAGTTACTCTAGGGATAACAGGCTGATCTCCCCCAAGAGTTCACATCGACGGGGAGGTTTGGCACCTCGATGTCGGCTCATCGCATCCTGGGGCGGTAGTACGTCCCAAGGGTTGGGCTGTTCGCCCATGAAAGCGGTACGCGAGCTGGGTTCAGAACGTCGTGAGACAGTTCGGTCCATATCCGGTGTAGGCGTTAGAATATTGAGAGGAGCCTTCTTTAGTACGAGAGGACCGAGAAGGACATACCTATGGTGTACCAGTTATCGTGCCAACGGTAAACGCTGGGTAGCTAAGTATGGAGTGGATAACCGCTGAAAGCATCTAAGTGGGAAGCCCACCTCAAGATGAGTATTCTCATCACGAAAGTGAGTAAGGTCACGGTAAGACTAACCGTTTAATAGGCATTAAGTGTAAGTACAGTAATGTATGTGCTGAGATGTCCTAACAGACCGAGGACTTGAATTTTTAAAAAATATTTTTAAGACAACTAAGTCTTAAAAATATCATATATCTTTAAAGTTTAATCTCTTTAAAGATTTTTGCTTTGGTGTTTCTAGTGTACTGAACGGAACCACGCTGATCCATCTCGAACTCAGCTGTGAAACGTTATAAATCGGCGACAATACTTGGGGGGGGACCTCCTGGGAAGATAGCTCAATGCCAAAGTTTTAACTCATTCTAATCTATTTTTAGTTTCTAAAAGTCGTATCAATAATCGTTTTTCAACAAACTTTAAGAACAAAATCAATAATATCAAAAGAGATAGATAACAAATATTTCCAATATTATTATATAATATGAACTATAATGTGGATTATAATATTAGTCATTAATATCATTTTCTGTATTTAAATTTTTAATATTTATAGAGGATTTTCAGCTATGGATACTCGTTTACTTGTAATTGCTCTTCCTTTATTGACAGCAGCAACTTGGGCTTTAATAAACATCGGCACTTTAGCTATTCAACAAATTCAACGTTTATCACGTTAATAATAAGTTACAGGGAAAAATTGAAAAATATTTGATTTTTCCTTGTTTCTCTTAAAATAAAAAAAAACATTTCACCTAACAATAAATTTAAGATTATTATTAGGTAAATAATTTAAAATATTTGATTGTTAACCTTTTTCATTCCAACGTTCTAATACTACAGTATTTGAACCATCATTATTTTGTTGGTATTTAATTGGTTGGAAACCTAATTTTTGACTTTCACCAATAATTACTTCACCAGCATATTGTTGTGAAACTTTATCAATAAAACTTTCCACAGGACATGATTGTTCCCAGAAACTCATATCAACTACTAATTCATACTCAGTACCATTCCAAGCAAATTCAATATCATAACCATTAGATTGATTAATAACTAAATTTGAAACGTTTGAGTTATTTTCTAAAACTTGTTTTTGATGATTAATTTCTAGTTTATTTAACGCAGCTTCTAAATAGGCTAAATTTTGGAAGCTTGTTTTCATTGTTGTAAAATGAGACATAGATTTGATAGGATAATCAAAGTTAATAGTTTTCTATTATTTATTATAATATTATCCTATAAATTTTTACGTCTATTTTCTTTTTTATATCATTGAATAATATATATATATATCCAAAACATCTAGATTTTAAATGTTTTGGATATATATATATTATTCAATGATATTAGCTTTTTTTAATAATGACGCTACTGTATCACTTGGTTGCACACCATGTTGTAACCATTTTTGAATTTTCTCAACTTTAAAGTGTGATTCTTTCGTTAATGGGTTATAATAACCTACTGAATCTACAGGTCGACCGTCACGTCGCGTTGAGTGTTCTATAACTACTAAACGGTATGTTGGTTGTTTTTTTCGACCAGTTCGTGTTAATCGTAATTTTAACATAATTATTTCTTAATTTAATTTCGTAATTTGTTATTTGATTTCAATTTTTAATTTCGAAAACTGTTATTAAAATCAAACGTTTATCGTCTTGAGTAGTACTCAATAACTAGTAACTCATCTAATTCTAGTAATAAGTCATTGCGATCACAGTAGTTTGTTACTGTCGCTTCTAATTTTGTACTATCAAATTTAAGATGATTTGGTTGCTCTGCAAAGCGACTTGCTTTAAGATTATTTTCTACTAAACTTTTTGAAGAAGCTTTTGCTTTTACTCCAATCACATCATTAACTCGACATTGGAAGCTTGCAATATTAACAGTTTTACCATTTACTGTAATGTGTCCATGGTTTACTAACTGACGCGCTGCTGCCATTGTTGACGCAAATCCAAGATTAAAACAAATACTATCTAAACGCATTTCTAGTAATTGTAATAAAATTAAACCTGTTACACCATTACGGCGACGTGCTTCTTTAATATAACGGAATAATTGGCTTTCAGTTAAACCGTAATTAAATTTTAATTTTTGTTTTTCTTCTAAACGAACACCATATTCTGTTGTTTTGCGTTTACCTTCTGAGCCTTTACCATGTTGACCTGGACGGTCTTTTTTCTTTGATTGTTTTTGTGTTAATCCCGGTAAAGTTCCTAAGCGTCTTGTAATTCGTAATTTAGGTCCACGGTAGCGTGACATAAAATATAATTTTTTTTTAATTGAATTTTCTTAATATTCCTTGATTTTTTTTAAGATTTGGGCGAGTGACCGGACTTGAACCGGCGAATGGCGGAACCACAACCCGCTGCCTTAACCACTTGGCCACACCCGCCATATCATTTACAAGTATACTTTATCAGGTTATATTAATGTTCGTCTAGAGTTTTAAACAAATTTAATTATTTATTTTATGGTTAGTCAAACTACCTTTTTTTTTAATGGAAATGAGTATTCTACGAAAAGCTCAATAACTTTAGCAGATCTTTTAAATTATTTCGATTATAATACTTCGATCTTTGTCGTAGAATATAATCAATTTATTTGTAATAAAAAAAATTGGAAAAATATAACAATTCAACCAAATGATACAATTGAAATTATTACAATTGTTGGCGGAGGATAATTCTATAAAAATATAGAATTATCTATTTTAAGCCCGGATACTTACTTTATATTTGTCTGTTAGAATAGATTGCAAAGTATCAATAATTTCTTCTATTTCTTTTGTTATTAGAGTTTTTTCTGATGATTGGAAAGTTAACTGAATACAAAAACTTGTTTGATGATCTGGAATTGAACCTCCACGATATTCATCCAATAACTCAATATCTTTTAAATAGCTTGTACCATTCTTTATTAGAGTATGTTTTATTAAATCAAAGGAAGTTGTTCGATCAACAACGAAAGATAAATCTTTTGTAATTTTTGGATAAGTTGAATAAGAATTATATAAAGCTAATTTTTTATTCTTAAATTCATCTCTAATTGAATCAAAATTAAATTCAAATAAGAATAAATCCACTGGAAGATTTAATTGTTTAGCCAATACCCGGTGAATTTGACCAAAAACACCTAAATATTCCCCAGTTTCTAAATATAATTCTGCAGTTCTATATGGATGTAAGATTGTTTCATACTTTGAAGAAGTAGATTGTTTCCATATAACAGAAATATTCAATTGATTAAAAATTTCTTCTATTTGTCCTTTTCCTTCAAACCAAGATAAAGGTTGACCGGGTTGATCCCAATTTTGTTTAATTTTTGTTCCACCAAAAATCCCACTAATCACCTCAAATTCTTTATATGTCGTTTTTAAATTCCCTTCAAAAACATGACCATATTCAAATCCTTGTAATAAATTATTACCTTGCTTTAAATTATCACTCGTAATTTTTACTAAACTTGGTAATAAACTTGTTCGTAATGTAGAACAATCTGTTGTTAATGGATTAACTAACGGAATAGATTGTGCGGTTTTATCACCAACTAAAGAGTATTGAAGTAACTCATTAAATCCAGTATTAATAAAACAATTCGTTAATTTTTTGCGAATTTGATAACTAAAGTCTTCTTTTCCAATATTTGGAATAGGTGGTAATGTTGTTATAAAATTATTAAAACCGTGTAAACGCCCAATCTCTTCAATTAAGTCAATTTCACGTTCAAGATCATCTATACGATCTTTTGGAATTTGAACCAACCATTCTAAAGCAGTTTGATTAAACGTAAAATCAAAATTTAAACGCTTTAAATATTCGGTAACTTCAATTGGGGATATATCAGTAGGATTTTTCGTTTTAGGGTTTTGAACAGGTCCTAAAATTTCAATAATATTTTCATATTGTAATAATAATTTTACATCATCCACTTGCTCAACTTCTGACGCGGTATGAAGTTTACAAATTAAATTTGGATTTGTAATTTTTAATAACGTAATCAAACGAATTAAAGCTTCAGTAAAATAGCTATTATTTAATCCTTTTTCATATCGTGCTGAACGGTCTGTTCGTAAACCTAAAGCCCGCGATTGTTGACGGATTTTTTTTGAACTAAAAATTGAACCTTCAATTAATAATGAAGTTGTTTTTGAACTATAAGCCACTTCGTGATTAGAAATAATTCCTACAATACTAATTGGATATTGATTGGCTTCGACAACCAAGATTTCTGAATTTAATTCGTAAGTTAAATCATTATTTGCTAAAAATGATAGAGGTTTTTCGACCGACTTTAATTGTAATTGAAAATCTGACGCATTTGTTAATTTCTGAATTTTTTCTAAGTCATAAAATTCAAAAGGATATCCAGTTTCTAATAAAATATAGTTTTGAAAATCTAGTAAGTTATTTACCGGTTCAACTTTTGAACAAATTAATTTTTCTTGAATCCATTTTGGACTAGTTAAATTCTCTAAGTTTTCAATTGTTAGAGTTACAAACGTTGAATAATCGGCCGTAAAATCAGCGCGATTTATATTGTCATTAACAAGATTTTTATATTTTGTTGAATTATCACTATAAGGTACTACATTACTTGGTTGATTTAGTAACGCTGTAATTTCTTTAGCAATTCCTTTAATTGAGAGGCTATCAGCTCGATTTGCTGTAGCTGAAATATCTAAAACAGTTCGTTTTTTATTATTAACGTCAATTTCTAATATTTCTTCTACCTCAAACCCGCCAAGAGTAAGTTTGTTTATTAAGGTTTCTAGTTGAATAGTTTTTACACTAACTAATTCATTAAGCCAATCTAATGATGTATACATTTTTAGGTTAGAATAAAATTTTTATAATTAATTTGCTTTCGTAAATACAAGTCCATAAACTTGACCATACCGTTGCATAAATCGCATAAATCGATCCCAGGCATCCGGACTTTTCATTATGTAAATTGCTTCAATGACTTCAGGTTTTCCATTTATAAATCTCGCATTAACATCTCGAGTTTCTAAAGTTCCTTCTTCATCAATTAAATACATCCCAGTAATTTCGCCTTCTTTTGCGGTACTTTTATCTAAAATAATAGGATTTTTAAAACAAAAAGTCGCTGTTCCAGTGCTACCATTTCGTGATCG